TAATTAATATGAAAAGATTATAATAGATATTAAAACTAACTTCTTATTAATTAAATTTAAATTATTTTAAAGTTAATTAACTTTCTAGAAATCTATTATTAATATAACTTTTCTTTTTTCTATTAAAATTAATTAATTTTTTTTTTAATTATAGAACTTAATTTACGCTTTCTAATAATCTAATTTTTTTTAAAATTTAATCTTACAATTCTAAGTAAATCTTAAATCAAAATCTTTTTACTCTTCGAAGTTCGAGACTCGAATTTAATCTCGAAATCAGATTTAAAAATAAATTACTTTCTATGAATTTAATTTATGAGTTTAAACTTAGTAAATTATATAATAATATAAAGAGTAAGAGAATATAAAAACGCTATTAGTTTTATTTTTATTATATTAAAGATAATAGAAGTAATATAGAAGTATTAAGTCTTATTAAATTTATAATATAGCTTTAATTATCTATTAGTAATAATAATAAAGATAGAATTATATATAAAGAACTTCTCGATAATATCTAGAAGAGTTTAAAAAATAGCGAAATTAAAGAAAATAGAATAAGAGACTTTAAGATTTAAATAAACTTTCTCTCTTTTATTAATCGAGAATTTAAAATAAATTATTAAATTATTAAAAAGAATATTAAAAGAGTTATAAAAAATAATTAAGATTATAATATTATAAATTAAGCTATTTTTAAAGTTTAACTCTTTTTAAATTTTAAAATATAATATTATTATTAAAAAGATAAAACTATTAATAAATAGATATTAGATAAATTATAATATTAATAATAAAAGAAGATAAAGTAAAATAAGAAAAGATAAAAATAAGATTCTATAAAAGACGAAGACTATTAATTTTAAAAATAAAATTTATAAAATTTTATAATTATTAAAGAAAATATAGAATTAAATAAGATAAATAAGAAATAATAACATAAAGCTAAGATTTATCTCTTAATTTCTCTTTTTAAAAATATTAAATAAGAATATAGCGATTATTAATATATATAAAAGAATAAGATAGAGCTAAATGAGAAATTCTTAAATTTATATATATAGTTAATTATAAATTTAGAGTTATTACGTCTTTTAGCTAGACTAACTAACTTATCGCGAGTAAATAAATTAGCGTTCGTAACTATTAAAATCTCGCCCTTTCGTATCTCCTTTATTAAAAAAATAGATATATATTATTAATATATAGAATAACTTTTTTATTTTCTATTAAAATTTTAAGACTTTTTTTTTAAATTTTAAAGCGCTATTTATGCTTTTCGAGTTTTTAAGAACTTTGAAATTTAGTCTTATAATTATTAAAGCGTAAGAAATTTAAATATCGCTTATTAAAGTTCGCTCGACAGTTAAATAGCTCTAATTAGATATATATTATTTAATTTTAAAATAACTTTTTTATTTTCTATTAAAGTTTTAAGATTTTTTTTTTTAAATTATAGAATAAAAAATAGACTTTTAGAAGAAAAAAATTATTAAATTTAGTACTATAACTATTAACGTCTAATAAATTCAAATATCGCTTATTAAAGTTCGCTTATTAAAGATCGCTTATCTACTTACTCGATAGCTCTAATTAAAAAAAAAATTATAAATTTAATTTATAGACTTTTACTCGTATTTAAGAATAAGATAATAATAATATAAATAATTTTTTTCTCTTAATTATTTTAGATAGAATTAATTAATATTAATAAAATAATATATTCTCTTTTTAAATAAATAGATAATACTCTTATATAGAAAGAGAGATTATAGTTTATCTTTTAATAAAATTTTAATAAAATTTTAGAAATTAATAAAATATTACATTGATTTTTATAGATAATATTAAGAAAATTACTATTATAATTTATCTATTTCTTTTAAATTTATTTAAAAAAAGAGTATTATTTCTAAAAATTTAAAAAAAATAATATAATAGTTTTAAAAAAATTAAAGAAAGATAATTATATAGAATCTAAATTATATAAATTAATAATACTATTAAATATATTAAAAAAGATATTTAAAATAATAATAATTAAACGTTTAAGTAATTATATAGAGAATAATAATCTTTTAACTTTAGAATAAAAAAAGATAAAAAAAAAGAGATTTATAAAGATAATATTAAAAATAATAATCGAAGTAATATATATAATCTAGAATTACGATAGAGATAATATTATTTATCTTTTATATCTTAATATAATAAAAATCTTTAATAACGTTTTTAAATAAAAGTTACTTTATAATTTTAGAAAGAAAAATATATATATTTATTAATAAGATAAATTAAGAGTTTTTTAAAAAAATATAGTTATATTTATTATATTAAAAAGAAGAACTAACGTAATAAAATTCGCGGAAACTAATATTCTATAGAGATTTTCGATATTATTAATTTTATTTCTATTCTTTAATATATTATTTATTAAGAAAGTATTTATATTTATTTATTAGCGTATAGAGAATCGATTAATAAAACTATAAAGTTTTTAAATAGATTTATAAGATTTATCTTAAATAAGTAAAAATATATAAAGTAATTATCGCCCTTAAAAAATACGAGTTAATATACTTTATTTATAATTCGAAAAAGTTTAATATAAAAGTTATTATCGATTTAGAAATTATAATTATAAAATTTAAAAAAAGTATTTAAATTTCAAATTTTTATATTAATAAAAAAATTAAATAAAAAAATTATATTAAGAAAGTTAAGATAAAGATTATATTTAATAAGACGAGATAAATATATAATATTATAATAAGATTAATAATAATTTATAATAGAATATAAGAAAAGAACTTTATATAAATAAATATAGATTTTATATAAATATAAAGAATCGATTATTAAATTATTAAAGATTTATCTCTTTAAGTTATTTAATTTTAATTTATAGCTTATAATAAATTAAATTACTTCGAAGGTTATATCTTAGTCTTTTAGATATATTAATTCTATATATACGCTAAGTAAACTGATTACCCTGGCACACCTGGGCTATGGCTATGTGGCTGTAGCCCCCAGCCACATTGTGGCTAATGGCTATAAGCCGTCAAAACCAACACCCACCTCCGTACTCTGTACGGGTATCTGATAGCGGAAGAACGTACGACCAGTAGGCTATGATAACTATGGCCATTGACTACTGCGAAGAACATGATAAAGAAAGCACGAAGGCGGTCATGCTCCAGTCTAGAGTATATACACGAAAATGCCCGGACATCGGTCCTTTGACATCAACCGGATCTCCATGGCAAAGGCTACGTAGGCTGGGCGGATCTATGGGCGCACTTTTCGATATCCGACATGCGAGATAAGCAAGGCAACTAACGAATGCCAACAATCTTGAGCCAATTTATTAGGCTGATGCCCATCCCACAGTGCCAGACCTCAGCCTGACCTTACCCAGCTTTGCTTTTATGATTGATCGCATTCTCTTTCCGGGCAGGCTGAGGCGCATATATACTGGTGCCTAAATTGACCCTGCAGATAGCCATGCATCTGTCTTCATTCCTTTCCGCCTGAGAAAAAGCCGCGGAGATTCTTTGCACGACTTGCTGCTTACCTCTCAGCACTCCGACAACGCGAGAAGACCCTTGTTTTTCTCCGAACCGGAAAGAGAAGACACACGATGGAAGAAACCAGCAGTTTTACAACTTCCAACTGCTGCAGCAGTGGCTTTTGGTGAGTCTGAACCTGTACAGGCTGAACCTGAACAGACTGTAGTACATTGTCAGTTTTGCCTGCACTTCCATGATCTAGCAAGGAGATAGACTGGGGCGGCGTTATTAAGCGATAGTGTGTTGCATTGCAATAACTCGGCTGAGTCTACTACTGCAGAGTCTCAGCCTGATCTGATAGATATTTTTGGGGCGGCGTTATTAAGCGATGGTGTGTTGCATTGCAATAACTCGGCTGAGTCTACTACTGCAGAGTCTCAGCCTGATCTGATAGATATTTATGGGGCGGCGTTATTAAGCGATGGTGTGTTGCATTGCAATAATTCGGCTAAGTCTGCTACTGTAGAGTCTTAGTCTAATTTAATAGATATGTATGCAGCGGCGTTATTAAGCGATGGTGTGTTGCATTGCAATAACTCGGCTGAGTCTGCTACTGCAGAGTCTCAGCCTGGTCTGATAGATATTTATGGGAAGGCACACCCCTCCCTTGCCTACATCCTTGGATAATACGCCTTCAAACCCACCAAGTCAACGTGCTCTTATCTTGGTACCCCAAGTACATTTGCGAGGTTTGCAGCGAATTTAGTCGTCCAAGTATCGTCAATTTGCCCTGAAGAGATTTAAGGTCCATTTACTCTGAGTTCGCTCAAGATGAGGATTGAAGTGTTGTATCCCTCGACTGGAGATGATCTCAGAGCGCAATCTTTGAGTGTTGAGTAAGACAGCGTCCTTCACATTTGTATCTATTGCATTGCGTTTTGTGCGGCAGAAATGGCAAAACGGATTCCATCGCATGCTTCGTTGTTTAGAAACAAGTTGATATTCAAGGCGTTCGGAACCTTGAGCATCGCGCCGATGGAACATAGACGCTGAAGGTTCCGGCTTTACTTGACAACGTCATCATTAGTCTGGTCTCGACGAAGAGTTGCGATACAGTTTGTCGGATGCTGAAGTCATCAGTACAAACATGGAAGCCCCTAGACCTTGCTTCTTTATTATGGCAATAATGTATCGCTAAGATTCACATATTTCTGTAGTATCGTGGCTGTTCATGGCCTCGGAGCGAGTTCCTTCGACACTTGGTCATGTGCAGCGAAGTCTACCGAATCGACATCCTTCAGCTTGAAGGAAGCGGTCCCTTCGAATACCGTCAAATCCGGAGACACCGAAAAGGTATCATGGCTAAAGGATTTCCTGCCATTAGACTTACCACATGCTCGGATCATGACGGTTGAGCACGACTGGAATTTGCTTTCCAAGGATACAACAAGTCTCGTTGACGTTGCAAAGTCCTTGCTAACCAGCTTAATGGATAAGCGAAAGCACCCCTTTGTAAGCAAAAGGCCTTGATACTCTTTGGTACGCTCTAATGTGCATTGCTCTAGGAGCAGGAACGACCCATCATATTTGTGGGCCACTCTCTTGGAGGACTAATTATAGAGCAGGTGAGAGCGCCGTACTCGAATGTGGTTCTAGCATAGATCCCGAAAAGTTGCTGATCATGTAGGCTCTCTTATATGCCCACAACGAAAGTGTGTTTCACGAGATCGCCAAGTGCACGACTGCGATCCTATTCTTCGGAACACCGCAGAGAGGCATTGAGCGAAGCAACTTTACAGATGTTGTCGGCTCTTTGACACAGATACTGCCAAAGGAAACAACTCGCATTGTAAGTGCGTTGCAGGAAGGAAGTGACACTATCGCAAGATTGCACTCGGAGTTTGGACAACAGATCTCAAAATACAAAGTGGTCAGCTTTTATGAAACGCGGGAAACCAAGCTACCTTCGTCGTCATCAGCATTGGTAATTAATCTTAGCGGCAGATAACAGGATCTTTGGACTGACGTTTGTTAGATTGTTGAAAAGCACTCTGCTGTCCTGGATGTGACGTGGGAGTCTCAAGTAGCCGTGAACACAGACCATCAAAACATGTGCAAATTTGCATCTCGGGAGGATTACACATATCAGAAACTCCTGAAAAGCATCACCAGTATTCCTGAAACCCAAGCCGTTATGCACAAAGTGACTCGTAAGTACTAGGATCAGAAATGACAGGGTCTTGTTGACACCGAGTCTCAGGGAAGAACACGAATGGCAATCAATACTATGTAGTCCCTTTCCACCCCACAGAAGAGTACACAGGTAAAGCATATCTTGGAGCAATGCTCAAAGAAAAATGTCTCCCCTCAGGGAGGACAGAGGACTTCAATAAGATCTTCGTTTTGTTGGGGGTGGGTGGTATAGGGAAGACCCAGGCCTGCCTTAAATTTGCTCAGGACTGGCGTGAAAGGTAAGCCATGAGCTGGAATGCTTGTCCTATACTTCACAATCGATGAGCATGTTGTGCTAAAAATCTGCAGCTTTTGGGGTGTCTTTTGGATAAATGGTTCCACCGAAGCAAGCATTCAACAATCATTCTTTGACATCGCTCGAGCGTTCGGACTCGAAAGAGACATTGGAGCAGTAAAGCGACAATTATCAAACGCAGCAGAGTGTTGGCTCCTGATCATCGACAACTTTGATGATCCTTCCATAGGCTTGTCAAAATTTCTCCCCGCCGGCAATCAAGGATCGATTCTTATCAGCAGCCGGAATTATCAAAGTAAAATACACGAAACGGTCGGCTCATACAAGGTCAGGTATATGGACATCCGAGATGCCGTGGAACTTTTCCATCGGACTGCGGGCAGATTCGTTCCCTCCGATGACACGGCGGGGTTACGCGACGTATTATCGAGAGTGGAGATGCTATGGCTAGAAAAGATAGTGCTGATGCTGTGCCATCCCTTGACAATATGTCTTGCTGGTGCCTACATAAGAAATAGTACCTCCACGATGGAAGAGTACTACGAATCTTATCATCGAAAACAGCATCGTCTACATGTCATCCAAGAGCGGAGCAACAACTATCCCGATTCTACGCTACTTCCAGCGTGGGAGATCTCTTTCGAACATATAGAAAGACTAGGTACTGAGGTCTCTCGTGACGCTATTGAACTCTTCGATTTCTTCAGCTTCATCTCCTGTGATGAAGTCGATGCAGAGGAGCTTCTCAAGCAGGCTTGGAATAACTTTATGATGCTCGAAAAGCCCTCTCGATTTCCGAGGTATCAGCTACGTGTGCTCTACAATCCGACAAGCACGGAGTGGCAACCATCTAGGCTACAGGAAGCTCTCAAACTATTGGCATCATTCTCGCTGCTACAACAAGATCGAAATACCAAGAAAGTTTCCATGCACCCTCCTTTTCGCGATTATGTAACTCGTCGCCGGAACGAAGAGGATTCGTCCAAATTATCATTCATCACCGCCTCGACTCTAGCTTCTGCTACGAGCGCAAATTTTGAAGAACTGGATTACGGCTTCCAAGAAGAACTCCTGTCACAAATTAGCTTCCTTTTACGCCGTCATAACAATGATTTCGCCAGCGACATTAGCTTCGGGAAATGGCCAGAGGCCTTGAGCTCGTTTTCAATGGCGTTTCGCAACGGCGGGCAACGCGAGAGGGCTCTGGAATTCGAACTGACAGCGATGGAGCTGAGGAGCAGACTTCTTGGGAGTGAGCATCCAGATACCTTGAGATCAATGAATCGTGTGGGACGCTGTTTGCGTGAGCTTCAGCGCCCCCAGGAAGCGGTCGCACTAGACACACAAGTTTTGGAATCGCGAAAGAAACTTTTCAGTTACGAGCACCCCGAGATTTGGGAGTCTTTGGAGTGCCTAGCAACTAGCTACAACATGCTAGGCCAACTGCAAGACGGGGTGTTATTGATGGAAGAGGTAATGGCTGTAAAGGGGCTGATCTTTGAAGAAGCGCACATTGAAAGGCTCACGACTATGACCCATGTTGCCAGCTGTTACCGTGGGCTTGGTCGATACAAGGAAGCATTGAACCTAGAGCAAAGAGTGTTCTCGCGGAGACGACAGACCTTCGGCGAGGGACATCCGGAAACCTTGAACTCGATGAGAGACCTTGCCGTCACTTACGGCGAGCTTGGCCAGGATCACATGGCAGCCGAGCTGCATAAAAAGGCTTTGGAAGTCAGTTTGCGTGTCTTAGGCGACAGACATCCCGACTCTGCAACTTCAATGCACAATCTACTGGTCAGCTATAGTAAGCTCGGAAAACACGAAGAAGCAGCAGCTCTAGCAGAGCGAGTACTCGACCTGAGGAGGGGTCTCCTCGGCAATGATCATCCAGATACGCTCCAAGCAGCAGATACTCTTGCGAAGGCCTACGACACCACCAATCGGCACCGAGATGCCCTGAGATTGAGGGAACAACTGCTGAAACTAAGAGCAAGACAATTGGGCACTGACCATCCGGCTACTCTGAGAATAATGGCTGGGCTTGCCGCATCCAACGAGAAGATTGGTTTTTACCAAAACGCTATCCAGCTGAGAGAGGAATTGCTACTGCTATCTAAACAGCAACTTGGTCCTGAACATCCAGACACGTTGATCGTAATAGCTGACCTTGCCACTGCCTACGAGAGTACTGACCGCCGCCCCGCAGCGGCAGAGCTGAGGGAGTTTTTGTTGCAAACAAAAGATAGTACTGCGGGCGATCATGGCACACTAAATCCAATACGGAACCTAGACGTAGGCTCTGCTTCCGATACATACAGCAACTCATCTGACGACGAAACAATTGGCTCTAAATTGTCCAACGTTTCCAAAGATCCAACTATCTCGACCCAAACGTCTTCCGGGTCCGATCGAGTGAGTGTTGCCGAGCGTCTCGCTGTAGCATTTGAAGATGATCTGAATCTCCTCCTTTCTTATGAGGATTCACTGTTGATCATGAGCCGACGAAGATTTGTCCGAAGTCACATGCGCCTATTGAAGGCCTATTTCAAGGACGTACGTATTACGACATCAGAGCACCACCAGGCAATTAGATATCTCTGTGGAGTATCACAACGAAGAATGATAGCAGAGAAGATTTGTAACAGAAATTCAATCGATACTACGACCCAACAAGCAGCAAAGCAGACACTAGGGGAACCTTTGCAACTCAGTCGATTCCAACTACCTGGCAACCCAGCCGGCGAACTCACCGGCTTGTTGAACAATGAGCTTGAAGAACCAACTTCTTTGGACGATGTTTCTAGTGACGACAGTGATGGTTGCGACCGAGACACTTCCGATTCATTCGATGAAACCAATGTCACGGAAGTTGACAGATTAGTGCAATTACTCCTAAATCATGTTTCATTCTCCAAGTATAGAGACAATCTTCGAAGCTTCATCGGCCGGCGATACTCTCCGCGTACGCTCCGCTATGCGCTAAGTCTCGGTAATGTGAACGCTGTACGCGGCGTGATCGAGAGGCATTTCGAGGCAGTAGCAAAGGACGAGTACGACTGGCTCGAAGAGCTGAAAAGCCTCGGCTATGGCTCTTACGACATCGCGGAACTCCTTTTGGACGACTTCAACAAAACGCCATGGATCTTTTTCCACGCCCCAGAGCCACGAGAAGTCCTCGGTTTTCAAGATCTTCATCGACCAAACTGCGTCCACCAAGGAGTTAAGGAAATCAGTTCCGCGCCAAGATTGATCATGACCGACTACGAGAATGCTGAGGATGTGAAGAGATGGATAGCTGAGCAATGTGGTATTGCAGGAGTAGTCCCAAAATCTCGCAAGCTCGAAGATTGGACTGGCGATGTCACTTTTGCTGGTGACGCTCAGTCCGTGGCCTCGATTACCTATTTCATTGCTGGTTCTCATTTTGACATGGTATCACGCGTATGTGGAGCGCTACAGAAATTCTGCGGAATCGTGTCATATCTGAGAAAGAAAGAGTTGTGCTGTAATTCTTTCACTCTGTTGCATTACGCTTTCGGACACGACTTCCCGGCAATCGAACTCTCTCAAGTCAGTTTTGAACATGCTTTCAACCTCCTCGTGCAGACGCGGCTACTCCTACACAACTGGGAAAGTCCCGGTATTGTTCCGAAGTGCTTGCCCGAACTCAACCGCACAGCAGATATCATAATCAAGACTGTATGCGACACGAGAATACATGATCGGGAGGGTGAATTGGATTTCGAGAAGTGCTTCCATACTGTATCTTTGGCTGTTCAGATCTTGAGCCTTGGGCTTTACTTGTATAGTCAGGCCCACACGGGTGCTGTGCATCCTTTCTTCTTGGTGCATCCGCTACTTCGAATCGGCCTTTTTGGTGCCCAACCACCTCCCTTGGATTCGGAGAAGGCACATATATATGTATCTTTGTCTCAGCTTACATGCATGGCTGGGGTGACTGGAGATCTGGTTGCTGTTTTTGGATCGCGCCGTTGCTCAGAAGCGGAGAGTGCTCAGAGAGCCTACGACCTGCTAGCTTCCCCCGAGGATCTCGCAGACACTTGGGACGTGAGGAGGCTTGTTACTCATGGTGGAAGACCGGATAAGCACACTATCAATGCAGTGGAGATAGGTGATGGCCTCATCAGCTCCACCGACGAATTTGAAAAATCAACAGATCATGAGAATCCCATTCTGAGACTTCACTGGAGCAGAATAGACGAACCAGTGGATCTCAAGAAGTCTTTTCACTTGCGTTCGAAAGCATTGATTGGTACTACAACGGTCAACGCCGGGTGTCCTGTGGATGAGGATCAGAGCTGGCTGCTTGCGCAGGAGCAGATGGAGACTTTGGGTGCGGAAGAGGATTATTGGAAAGTCTACTCGAAACAAGCGGGGATTCAGGGTGGGAAATACCTTGTTGCCGCAATCAACGTCACCTGGGTCAGACAACCAGGCACGACTCTCAAACATATCCATCTGGGGCCCGATATCACACTCCCATTTCTCCAGTCTGACTGGGGACTCCAGATCAGCTGTTGCACTGGCGCCGCGCGGAGAGTTTCGCTTTGCAATCTACTTGCCGATGTGGCACCAATCCTCATGGATGCACTTGTCCAGAAATTGCCTGGTTGGAATAGCTTGCAGGTGCGGCACAACATGGCCGAGGCTTTGAAAGGAGACCATTTCAGAGATTGGTTCGACGGCTTGCCCCGTCGTTTACAAGGCGATGCCATGCACATCATCCGCTACGTCTTGCTAACGATTCAAGACACTGGGATCGATCGCTCTAATAAAAACCTTGTCGTTGCTTGGCCCCAAAAAGGCAACCCACTCGGGTGCTTCAAGATTCCTTGTAGAAAGACCAACTCCTGGGCACTAATGCTAGCCGACTCTGCACATTGCGCGACGTTTGCTTATGTGACCCCACTGTGTCTGGAGACGGACGAGTGCAAGTGTCAAAAGAGTGAGTCAGCACGTTGGCAGAACACCACCGCCGTGCTCAATACTGCTGTCTCTCTCTTCATCGACAATAGAAAAGTATCTGCGGTCTCGGTTAAGTCATGGGCATTGAGACATGAGGAAAGTTACCTAATCGGCAAGCCGGGGCTGATTCTGTATGGGAAAGTGGGAACTCCGACGTCACTGATTACGGTACATAATTGGGCTCGTCTGTACCTCTCGACCAGCAGGATTCCAAAAGCATTTAAACGAGTAAAACCGGAGCGAATCCGAGAAAAGCAGTGCACAAGTACACGATCGCAGCAGGTTATGGTCTTGGCGAAACACTGACGGCTTTGCTGATTTCTTAGAAAGGAAATGATAGATAGTGGGGTGCTTTTGCCTTTCATTTTCTCACCTGGATCCTGACATTCTTTTTTGTCATGCTTGTCATGTAATACCGCAGTACAACCTTGATTCCATATTGCAAGTTTCCAACCACAAGCTTCAGCGCATCCTGGTGATACAAAACTTCCATTTCTCTTTCAAGATTATGTGCATGCTAATCCAATATACAGCTCTTTTCATCGCAGCCAATCTACGTCGAGGATGTCCGGCTGGCGAGACGGAAAGACTGCATGCGATGGTATAGGCACATCGTGCTTGAGAACAGGCACCAAATGCTTCTATCACTTCTGTTCCCGTGGATGCAAGCCATCGAAGCTTGTCCAAGTTTGTACCCCGGGAGGATGTCGCATATCAGACTTTCCTGGCTAGTATCTGCAAAGATGTGAGGCTTCTTTTCTAGATTGTATTGGAGTCGTTGAGGATCAAATCAATTCTACACAATAAAAAAGCAAGGAAAAAAACGGATTTGACTGCTTTCATAGTTGAAGTTCCAAATACTTCGGTTGGGGCGGTTCTGCAGAGACCGGTATTGACAGCTTAACACTAGAGAGGTTTAGCAGTTTTTTTAAAAGAAATAATTTAAAATGGAAATAGTCTTATCCTTCTATCGCTAACTCGATTAAGTAATATTATGAACTTTAATAAAACCTTTATCGAAGAGTTATAAATCTCTTTAAATATATATATATATATCTTTTTTTACTATATATATATATTATAAACTTCTTTAATAATAAGATCTTCGTTATAATAATCTTTATAGTTATATTATTAGGCTATTAAGCTATAATCGCTATTATATTATATTATAAATATATCTTTCTAATAAAGTATAAGTAGATTAAGTTTAATTTAGATTTATAGATTCTTAAACGATTATAAAGAACTATACACTTTATAAAAGATAAATTTTTTTTTTTTTATATTATTTTAATTTAGAAAGTATTAATTATCGATAGAAAATTCGTCTTAATTTTAAATTTACTTTATATTTAATATTATATAAGCTTTTATAATTTAAATTATTATATAAATTTATATAAATCTTTAAATAATTAGAAGTTTATTTATTTATTATTTTTAATAATATATTTAAGTATTTATAAAGGCGTTATAATTTAATATTATTATAATATTTAACTCTCTCTTATAATTAAATTCGATTATACGCTTATATTATTAAATAACTTAATAAATATCGTAAATGAAGTATTATTTAGATTTTTATTAATAAAATATTTTAAAGAATTATAAGATTAGAAGATAAGAAGAATTTCTAATATTTAATTTATAAAAAATTTTATAATATAATATAGATAATAGTTATATGTCTAGATAATCTTATTAAAGCTATTTATAGCCCTTATAAAGAAAAGATAGTAGATATAAAAATACTTTAGATATCTAAAGTGCTTAAAAGACTCGATTAAGTATTTAAAGGAAAATCTAGATATTATTATTATTATCTTTTTAGAAATAAAGCTTATATTTATTAACGCTATATTATATTTTTTTTATAGATTTAATCTCTATAAAAAAATACTTTAATAGAATAATATTAAATATTAAAGTTATAATAAAATATAGCTTTAAATAAATATAAAATCTTTAAATCTCTAACGCTTTTAAATAATAATTAAAGATAAATCTTTAATTTATAGAAGATCTTTATCGAATAGCTATATTATTAATAAATTATTATATCTATTTTAGAGATAATAAGAATATAACTTATTTCGAAATTCGATCTTTTATTATATATTAATATCTTAATATTATAAAATAAGATTTTAATATTTAAATTATTTATATACTTTTTATAATTAAAGTTAATCTTTATTAAGTTCTTATCTTTATTTTATTATATATATAGATTATTTAAATTATCGCTTAAGCTATTAATATATCTCGTTATTATTATATAATTTTTAATTAAAATTTATATATTAAGAAAGACGAAGTCTTCTTTAAAGTCGCGAGTAATTAGACTCTTTATATTTATTTATTTAATCTTCTTATAAGCGATATTTATATTAAGAGTAAATAATAAGACCGACACATATAGAACTAAGTACTCTTATTTTCTACGCCCTCTATTTTCTAAAGTTAAACTTTATCGAATTTTTATATAACTATTTATTAATCGTTTAAGACGTTATAAAGAGTATATATATATCGAATTTTATTCTTTCAAGCGCCCTTAAATCCGCCAAGAGTTTATTTTATAATTTTAAATATATTATAAAGGAATTTTATCTAAATTTATAAGTATAATTATATATTTTTAATAGCGATTAAAGAAATCTTTAAGAAATTAATTAAAGTCTTAATTAAAATATAATAATAATATAAAATATAGATATTTTTTACGTAATTTCTAGGCGAGTAGATATATATTTTATATAAGACTATACTTTTAATATAAAGCGAAGGAATCGTTTTTCTATAGAAGAATATTATAACTTAGATTTAAATTTCTTTAATTTATATACTTTCGATAAAGCTTCTAATATATTCTATATATTATTTATATATATATTTTATAATCTTAAGAAGTTATTTATATATCTCTATATTACCCCCGTCGACCTCTAAAATATTATTTTACTTATTATATATTTTAAGTTCTTAGTCGATAAATAATTATTACTCTTTATTATTCTTTAATATTTATTAATAAATTTTCGCTATATTCTATATAGCTTTAATAAGAGTATATATTATACTATTTTTATAAATTATTAAGCTCTTAATAAGACTTTTTAATATAAAATTTTATATTTTTTTTAGAAGCTTTTAATTTTCTATTAAATACGCTATCTCTTTTTTTATATCAGCTAATATAAAAATAAGTTATTTTATTTAATTCTCTATATATCTAATATAAATTAAATAATTTTTTATATTATTTTAATAATCTTTAATATTATTAATTATAATATCTAACTATTCGTTTATTTAAATTTTATTAAATAATATTTAAATTTAATTAGATTAAGCTAACGATTATAGAGCTAATAATTAATATATAAATATTATAAGCTAATTTATTAGACGCTTAAGATATATAATTAAAGTTATTTTTAATTCGATAATTATAATTTTATAATTCTTCTTCTTTTTATAAGACTTATTAAAGATTTTCTTCTTCTTTTACTTCTTAATTCGTTTACGTAATATATTAAATAGCTTACTTATACTATTAAGATTCTTAATTATAATATATATATATAAATCTAAAAAATCGTTACTAGGGGTAATATCGTTTTTAAAAATAGAAGATTTTTATCTTAATATTAATATTAATAAGTTAAATAATAAGAGTTTAGATATAAAGCGATTACGTAATATAAGAAGATCGTTTAATAATATAAAAAAGTTATTATTTAAGATCTTATTAATACTACTCTCGTTATTATCGTTATTATTTTAATCTATAATCTTATCGCTATTAAATATATTATTCTTTCTCTTCTTATTATTTATTCTCTTATTTAGATACTTATAATCTTAATTATAATTTTATAAGTCTTATAACTTCTTTTTCTTCGCTTATTTATTAATATTCTTCTTCGCTTTATACTTCTTATAAGGTAGTAAGGTCTCTTTTAATAAAACTACGTAGTAGCTATATAATTACGAGGTTTAGATACGTAGTTAATAGAATAAATAGATTAATTACTAGATAAATTAATAACTAAAAAAAGAAGAAGAAGAAAGGGAACTTATAAGTATTTAAGACTTTATTAAGTATATTAAATACTCGCTTTAATTACGTAGCTTATAGTCTAATAAGCGATATAAGCGAGCCTATTAATTCGCTTTAAGTACTTCTACTCTTATAATTATATCTCTCTTTTAAAAGATTTAACCTCTAAGCTTTATTATTATTACATCTTATAATTAAATATTTATAAATTTATTAATTTCTTATATATTATTTATTATTAGCTTAGATATAGTCTAAACTAATATATATTATAATAATATATTTAAACTTCTTAGTCTAAAGTCTTCTTAAATATATTATTATATTTATATACTAAATCGCGATAGTATCGCTATATATATTATTATCTTAATTAATAGAATATAGATATATTACTATCTTATTACGATATACTATTATCGCTATTATTATATATTATTATTATTATTATTACTTTAATAATTATAGTAATTCTATTATTATAATTATAAAAGTCGCGCTAATAAGTATAAAAGCCTTACTTTTAATTTAACTTTTATTCTTTTTAATAATAATATTAATATCGACGCTATTATAAATAAGTACTTAGTTCTTCTTTATATCTATTATTTTATCTTTATTTATTCTTATTATAATATCGCGATAGCGAGTTATATATTATTATAATAATATAATATATATATTAATTAAGATAATAGTTAAATAAAATTAAAGTTATTTAAATTAACTTTATATATAATAAGTATCTTAAAGAATACTTTACGATACTTTTTAAATAGTATAAAAAGTATATTAATATATTAATAATAATATTAAATCTTCGCTTTTATAATTCTACGGGTTATTAAATACTCGTAATTATTATTATTTTTACGCCCTTCGCTATAACTAGTAGATATTTATCTCTACTTTAAAGATATACTTAGCTAAGAAGACTATTAGCCTCTCTTATCGCTATCCCCTCTATCGCTATTTCTTCTATTACTACTTTAAACGCTATTTATAAATAGAAGAGATATTAAATAACTAAGAGATTACGCTAATATATACTAATTTCCTTTTACTATTATTATATATATACTTTCGTATATAACTCTTATATAATTTATATCGCATTTTCTATTAGCTCGCGCTAGCGTAAATATAAGCGATACTCTCGCGAGGGTTATATATATATTATAAACTCGATCTCTATTTATTAGATAAATATTCTCGCTATAACTCATATTAATAA